ATCTAGAGCAGTCAAATTTATACAGATGGAAAGAACGGTGGTTTCTGGGGACTGCAGAGGGAAATAGAAAGTTATTGTTTAATAGGCACAGAGTTTCAGTTTTACAAGATGAAAAAGTTATGGAGATTAGCTCTACAACAATGTGAATATATTTAACTGTACTGAACCAGACACTTAAAAGGTTAAGATAGTAAATTTTATGTCATGTGTATCTTACCACAATTGAAAAACAAACAAAACCCAAAGCAAACAGAACGGGGCAGCAGAAAGCCGAAAGACCCCAGACCAAATCTGTGCTCTGCGACTTACAGACACTAATGACAGAGGTGCCAGGCATGTAATCTGGCAATGGAAGTGGAGTGGATGGGAGGGGTGAGGCACTGGACAGTGCCCGTAGCACCTAAAGAGGGAAATCACCACTCAACCCAGTGTTGCCAGATCTTTTGAATTTTGTAGGAGAAACTAGAAATCCGTTGTGTCAGTGTTGGTGGCTGTTTTCCTGATTTGTAAATAAGGGCCACTAACTTGAAATGTTTAAAACTTTATACAATCCAAATACAACTTGGCTGTGGGTCAAATCTGGCCCCTGTTCTCAGATTAGTTTGTTTTACCGCTGTGAGTCACTTTCCTTGTCTGAACCTTAGGCACCTTCATAATGACCATCAGTGTACTAACTTGACAGGTTATTGTGAAGAATAAGAAAGATGCTTATTTGTATGCTGTTGTACTTCAGTGAGGCTGTTATGTGAGTAGGCGCACTGTAAACCTTCAAAGGCTATTTTCGTGTCAGTTTTACAGCCAGCCAAGCAGCATGGGGGGGCAGCAAGAAGCTGAGAGTAACTGCAACGAGGCTTTGCCGGCAGCTGCTCTGACTAGAGAATGACACACAGCCCTGTGCACGAGCAACAGACCCATTCCTAAAGGACAAGGTCTCAGTGTCTGACTGCTGCACTCTAATGAGTGAACGTCTTACACTTAACTGATATTTGGAACCATGAATTTTTCTGGGAGGAAAGGAGGTCTGGGAGAAAATCATGGAGTCTGGAGCCAGATACATCTCCGTTCAGATCTTGGCTCAGATACTTACTGGGCAGCTGACCAGAGGCAGGTCACTTCACCTCTCTGAGTCTCAGATCCCTGATTTTAAAGGGAGAAAATGATGTCTGTTGACAAGGCCTGTTATGAGGATCACAAGATTGTGTGCACTGTGTAGCGTCTCCAAAATGCTGGCTCCAATAGCTGAGGGCTAAGTATTAGCACCCTCCTCCCCTCTAATATCTTAGGAGCCCCAAAGACACCCCAGGCAAGGGCTCCTCACCTGCCTTGGTCCAAGGGCTACTCTGGGCTGGGACAAAGGGGCAGCTGGGGACCAAATCTACTCTAAAACCCTTTGCTTCTGCTCCTCTGAATTAACTGGTTTTGTTGAGACACCCAAGGAAGGCAGTGTAAGTGAATCACTAATTCACATCAGAAACAAAAACAGAACCCAACGTCACATTATGAGCATCAATTTCAGAAGAAACCAACCCTGGAGCTCATGGAATGGCCCAAAAAATTTCTATACTAGACAGCAGTGAAGAACACAGGTTTTCCTGACTCTGGCACGAGCACTGCCACAGGGCATCTGCTGTGTCTTGAAAGCCAGGTTGGTGAGTCATTGGTTATTACTTTAATTACTGGAAATTGGTGAATGTTTATACTGTGGTCCGTGAGGAGTATAAAGGGCCACAGGCACCAGGAAATCCACCTGGTTAACAGGTTGATCTGGGTACCCCCCAAGAAGAGGATCTTGGCTCCAAACTGAGCATGGAGCCGCCAGGTCACTTCCTACATGAGGAGACCTGACAGGCCCCAAATGCCTGCTCTTACCTCTTCCCGCAGCATGGTGAACAGGAAGTTCATGAGCACGGCGTGTTTGCGAGGATACTTCTGACACAGGGCACTGATGGCCTGGACCACCACCACCTGAGGGAAACAGACATGTGTGAGCAGCAGCCCCTGCCACTAGGGTGGGTCAAGTTACCTAGTTCACTAAGTGCCAACAGAGTCCTTCCTTAGGCCCAGCCAGGCCGTAAATAGCGGGCAAGGAGAGAAGAACTCCATCTCTACCCTCAGGGAGCACATGACCCCCCCACGCCCATCCAACTAGGGTGGCATGCACACCAGTCCCAACAGCTCCAAATCCAGACTCTGGGTCCCCCAAACTCAGCTTTCCTCAGACCTCAAGCTAAGTCCACAGGCCCCTCTCCGTCCCACCTGTCCTGCTTCTCTTCCTACCTCCACTCCCATAGTCTCACCAATCAGCTGTTCTGGCTCCTCCCTGGGTACTCTGGCCTTGACCCTTGCACACTATCTCTTTAGCAGTCCTGCCTCCTCCCGTGGTTTTACCCACCTCTTCTATGCCACTCACTCCCAACCCTTTGTCTACTGTCTGAGCTGAACACAGACCAGTGTTTCCAAATGTCTACAGGCAACTCCACCTGGTGCCCACTGGCACCTCAAACTCAGCATATCTGCAATCACCATCATTACCTTTTCATTCTCCTCACCCAGCACCCGACTCTCCCTCCCTCCCCAAACGGATCAACAGTACCACCATCAGCCCATACCAGAAAACGAGAAATCTCTGACACTTGCTCCCTCAGCCCTCACTCTGAGCCCTGCCAACCGGCCTCACAAAGGAACAGTATGGACAAAGACCCTGGGGCAGGATGTGTGTGTCTCCCAAGGCTGGGCCCTGTGAAGGGCGACATGCCACCCCCTCCACCAAGTCCTCAAGCCTGACCAGCCCCCAGGTCAATCCTGGCCTGGGGGCTGGGGAACGTGGGGGAGCAGGCACAGAGTTATCTGCCTCCCTCTGGGGACGGCAGGTATTCCAGGCATGCCCAGGTACCTTGAACTCATCTGAGATCTCCGACATGAAGGACGAGATCTGCTTCATGAGGCGGTCGATGCTGCTCTCACTGCCGGTCTTGAGGAGCGTGGTGATGGCCAGCGTGGCGATGCTGCGGTTTGAGTCCGTCACCAGGTTCTCCAGGTCCAGATTGCAGGCCGTCACTGCGGACGGGTGCTTCATGGCCACCTGTTTGGGAGGACGGAGAGAACAGAGATAAAAAGGGACTTCTGTTATTCTACTGCATGGCTCTGGCCTGGTCAGAGGTCCTTTGGATGAGCCCATCTCACCACCTGGTAGAAATGAACTGTGACCAGCACCACACCTTTTCAACTCAGGTCGGGGGCCACGACACGCCTCCAGCTGGATCAGGCCATCTCCCTGACCCTCTCAAAAGGCCAGACCCCCATTCTGCCCACCCCTGAACCCTTACCTTATTGAGGGTGCGGACAGCAGCATAGCGGAGAGCGGCCTTGGGTGAGCTGCAGAAAAGCTGGAGCACTGTGGGGAGACAGACGCCATGTGCCAGGCTGCCCTCACCGCTAAGCAGCTGGGAAAGCCCAGGCCTCTAGGGGAAGGGCAGGACAGGGCACAGAGGGCATGCGAAGGCTAGGGGGCTGTTCAGACCCAAACGCTGTGCTCACTTCCCTGCTGGCACCCTCACCACAACCAAGGAAGAGAGCTCATGAGCAGGCTTTAATATGCTCGTTAGAGCCCAGTGGGTGTCATGAATGATGACGGCTGCTACTTACTGAGCACCTGCCATGTGTCAGGCATTGTGCCAAGGAGCCGCTGTGCCTTGTCTCATTGATTTCTCACCATCCCACGAAGCAGCTTTTATTATTATCCCCATTTAACAGATACAGAGACTGAGGCATGCAAGGGTAAAGCTACTAAAGTAACTCTAGACTAGCTGCCAGTAAACGGCAGAACCAGGATTGAAATCCAGGACTGCCCACACCTGAAGCCTGAGCCCTTTACTCCTGTGAAGTAGAACTGCACTCCTCTCTCCTGGGCATGTATAGAAACCAACAGAATTACCTCAGTCCTGGCTTCACCAACTGCCCTGGTTCATATCCTATGTGGGTACACGTCAGGCAGCATATCCCTCCCTGTGCCTTGGCTGTCAGGAAGCCAGGACTCCAACCCAGGCTATCGGGCTGGGTCCAGGCTGAGGGACCCCTCTCAATTGCTTTCTCCTTTGAGACAGCTTGGCCCCTGGTGAGCATGAACTGGTTTTATAAATCTTGGGTTTTTCCACCAGGCCCTCTTGCCATGGCTAGCCAGCCCGACAGGCTGCAGAGTGGATCTGAACCCCATCTCTGCCTCTTACCAGAGCCCCAGGCTCTTTAATGAATAGTAAGGTAGGACTAAAAGTACCCTATCCCCAGACATAATGCACGTGAGAGAGCCTGGTACAGTGCCTGCCACCGAAAAAGTACTTCCTAGATCCCGAATCCTTTTCTTAACACTACGCTCTGGCCTGTTGGGAGGGCTTTTTCTTTCTTTCCCCCAACCCTCAGCCTGGGGCCTAGTTTCCAGTAGGAACAAACGTATGGGGTTAGGGCGAAGGGATGTCTGTAACCTGACACAGCCGGGGCCAGCTCTTTGGCGCTACAGCCTGGAAGATTGACGATGGCCGAGGCAGCTTCGTACACCACCATCTCATGCTTGTTGCGCAAACAGCTCTCAATGAAGTCAAACAGTGGGCTGTCACGGCTACAAAAGAATACAGGTGGCAAGAAGTTGGGGATGGCTCAGCACTGAACGAGGAATCACCTGGCCAGGGGAGACAAGAGCCATTACCTGCCGTCCTCCTCCTCCAGCTGCTTGCTGGCCACCCGGATCATCATGCAGTAGGCAAAGGGAGACTTGAGGCCATGCCGGGTGAACTTGCTGATCATTTTATTGACAGCCAGGCGGTCGTTCTTACGCACATGGTACAGGAGCCCCAGAGCATGGTACTAGAGGACAGGGGATGACGGCAGAGCACAGGTGTGTGAAGTTCAGGTCTACCGGCTGTGTGGCAGTGTATCTGTAGTCTAGCTCTTGCCCCCGATTTTGGCAAGGGTCCCAAAGGAAAGCAGGAGTACAGATGTGGAGGGGACAACAGATGCCACAGAGATGAAAGAATGGGACATGGTGTCTTTCAATAAGAGAAAGTGGGGGCCAGGCCCCAAGCATGGACATGTGTGGTCAAGGTGGCGTGCAGCACACCTCCCATGAGACCTTATAGCATTAAATCTTACGATGCCCCTGAAGGTAGATACCTGTAGTCCCACTGACTTGCCCAAGGACTCATGGCCACTATTGGCAAAGCTAGGTCTGGAGTGCCCAAAGTCAAGGGATTCCCCTTCTGGAGATGTAAGGTGCACAGAGTTATTTCCTATCCCCCTGCTCTTTGTTTCTTTACCAGAGTGGCGTTCAAGGGCTAAGTCATGCAACTGTGGGTGTCTTGCATGTGAGAACCTTCTCTGACCCTGGGAAGTATCTTGAGGGGCCACAGCTGGCCCTGAAGAGGGGAGTCAGCACAAAGGGTGAAGAGAAAACACACAGGGAGCACCTACAGGTATGCATCCAACAGATCAGATGGGTTTTTTTGTTTGTTTTTTAAGATTTTATTTATTTGAGAGAGAGAGGGAGAGGGAGCATGACCAGGGGGAAGGGCAGAGGGAGAAGCAGACTCCCCACAGAGCGGGGAGCCCGATGTGAGGCTCGATCCAGGCCCCTGGGATCATGACCCGAGCAGAAGGCAGATGCCTAACCCGAGAGGTCAGATGTTTTAGATGCTGTCTCATATTATCCTCACAGCTTTGTGAGGCAGAAACTTTCATTCCCATTTTACAGACAAGGAAACTGAGACTCACAGAGGTAAAAGGAATTCCTGGCCTAGGTCACTGAAAAAGAGTTAAGTAGCTGAAAGCCCCACCAAGGTATTTATATGCATCACTAACCAAACCAGCTTGGCAAAGGTCCTCTGCCTGCCTGGCCCAAGTTTGCTACCTCCCATACCCCAAAACACTACTCAGCTGGTTATCAAATACTTGGATATTTCTGTCCCAGCTGGTAAGTAGCCTCTAACTTAAACCTTCCCAAGTGGTGCCCTGGATTCTTTCCCCACACTCCCAAGTCTCCCCACAATCCAAGGACAGAAGATTAAAGTCTGCTCCTGCTAGGGACCACACAGGATCTCCATGGTGAGTGTCCATTCTGACCGGCTAGGGCCATGCCATCTACCTAAGGATCGTAAATATCATCGCTCTGCTCACACCTCACCTGGACCATGATGTTATCACTGGATGCCGCCTCCTGGGCCTCATTCACCCAGCGCTTGACCACGTCAAAGCTGCACTTCAGCAGGTGCTATGGGAACAGAGCACATTAGAAAGCAGGCAGGCCTTCTCAACTATCATACCTCCTGGCCCCAGCTCACAGTTCAGTCCAGCTCTGGATCCTCCCTCAGACACAGCCCAGAGCCCCTCCGTTGTGCTGGTTCTGTGAGACAGTGCACAAGAATAGCTCCTACCCTCACTCTCTGCCCTGGTGGCAGATCTCCCACCAGACCCAAATTCCAACAATTGGTCACCCCAAGGGGATGGGTCAAGAGTTCCCAAGCATGCTTCACTAAGAAAGTAGGTGGGACTCTCAGATCTGGGGATACAGAAACCCTTTTTGTCCTACTGAAAAGCAACACTGGTATTTCCTCAGTTTCCCAATCTGCTGTCCAGCCCCCCAGGGTGCTACACACCAGGGAAGACACCAGGGCAGAGCTGGAGACACTGGGCACCTTGTCCACAATGGCCTGTTTCATGTAGCGCTCGATAGCCTGCAGCATGGTGCTCTGTGGGAACAACAAGTGGGGGCAGGAGGGGACCCAATCAATCCTTGGTGACCGTCAGGAGTGCAGGTGATGGGTGGAAGAGTGAGGGCAAGAAGGAGGCAAACTTTTATCTGGTGTTCCTGCACCCCACCCACACCCCCACAACGGCTGGCCCAGTGCTTTGCCCAGGAGACTGAGCCTTGCCAAGAAGCAGGGAAGGAGAATGGCTGCTTGGTGGGGGCAGGAGACTCACGTCAGTAATCTGGCAGAGGGCACGCACAGCTGGGCCCCGGTAGTTGTCTTCTTTCCCAGTCATGTCCTTTGTTAGGCTGTGGGAGGGGAAGGCATCGTCCACACATAGGAGATTGGCTGGCCCTTCCCGAGCACATGTCCCCATCCATTCCTCCCCAGCTCTGGTCACCACGCTTGCCTGAACTACCATACAAGTCTCCTAACTAGTGCTCTCACTGTATCCTTACTCCTTCCTGGTCAAAAGCCACACGGCAACAAGAGAGATTATATGAAACTCAAAAATGACCAGGTCACTCTCTGACTTGGATTAAAACATTCCCAAGGCTTCCTACTCCCATCATCAAGTGTAAGTTCCTTAACAGAGAAGTCCCCAAACTGGTCATGCTCTCTCCTCTCCAAGCCTTTGTATATGCTATTCCCTCAGGCTGGAGCACTCCTGGCCCCCTCCACCTCTGTCCTGCTATCTATCTACCTAGATTTCTATCTCTTTCTTCTTCTTTGTTTTAAAGGTTTTATTTATTTATTTGACAGAGAGAGACACAGCAAGAGAGGGAACACAGCAGGGGGAGTGGGAGAGGGAGAAGCAGGCTTCCCGCTGAGCAGGGAGACCGATGCGGGGCTCGATCCCAGGACCCTGGGACTATGACCTGAGCCGAAGGCAGACACTTAACGACTGAGCCACCCAGGCGTCCTTACCTCTCTCTTTCTTTTCTTTCTTCCTCCCTCCCTTTCTCTTTCTTTTTTAATAAGAGTTTTTGGAAGAGTTTTGTTTTGTTTTTATAAGATTTTATTTATTTGACAGAGAGATAAAGAGAGCACAAGTAGGCAGAGTGGTAGGCAGAGGCAGAAGACTCCCCACTGAGCGGGGAGCCCGACGCAGGACTCGATCCCAGGACCCTGGGGTCATGACCTGAGCCGAAGGCAGACGCTTAACAACTGAGCCACCCAGGCACCCAGAAGAGATTTGTTTTCAGTGGCTCCTTTCCTTCTTTTGAAAAAATATGGAATGCTTCACAAATTTGCCTGCCATTCTTGAGCAGGGGTCGTGCTAATCTTCTTTGTATTCCAATTTTAGTATATGTGCTGCCAAAGCAAGCACTGTCCTGCTATTTCTCACTCATCCTTCAGGACTTTACTCAGACAGGTCTAGGAGGCCTTTCCTGATCCAAATTCAAGTTGGCTATCTTTCTGGTCTGTTCTCATAGTCTATCATACATCCCATGATAAACCCTATTGTATCTTAATGCCTGTCTGCCTGGCTATTTCTCTGTTATTTCTGGGGCTGTAGAGCTCATGTTGGTCTTATTTGCTGCTATATTCCCAGAGCCATACACAGGGACTGGTGGACATTCAATAAATATTTTCTAAATGAACCTGCAATGGAACGTACAACATCCCCCCAGCTCCAAAGTGTGGCAAGAATAAGAGAACTGAGCCCTAGTTCTTAAGGACAGGGATTAGAGGGGCGCCTGGGTGGCTCAGTCGTTAGGCGTCTGCCTTTGGCTCAGGTCATGATCCCAGCGTCCTGGGAACGAGCCCTGCATCGGGCTCCCTGCTCAGCAGGAAGCCTGCCTCTCCCTCTCCCACTCCCCCTGCTTTGTGTTCCCTCTCTCTCTGTGTCTCTGTCAAATAAATAAATAAAATCTATTAAAAAAAAAAAAGACAAGGATTATATTTTAGTCACATCTGTCCCCTGAATAACTCATTCTAAAGCAGAAACCAGTACTTGGTAAGTGAGCCTGTCTCTATACCCCCTGCATTCTCCATGTTTATTTTTCTTGTGTTCTCTCTTGGTACTCACTAAAGTCTTTGTGAAAGTTCCAGGCTGGCTCAGTTGACTGAGAGGAATCAAGGAAGCAAGGAAGGATTTATGCCTAAGGTAAGGCTAGATAATTAAAAGGGAAACTGTACATTCTAGAGGCTGCCATGGGTTGGGCAGCAGTAACTGAAAGATGAGGGAGACAAAAGAGGAAAGGGTGCCTGGCATTATGTCAAACAAAAGTCTCACTGCCTGATACACATGAGAAAAATCGGCCTCTGTGGCAATGGCATCCATCAAAGGAGCCATCCACAGACCCAAGACTTACCTGCTGGTGACGATGATAACATCCTCAGCGATGCAAGACATCTCCTTGATGGTCAAGTAGCACATCCGACGGAGTGTGGGCTGGTTAAGAAATAGAAAAAGCCCTATGACCCGTGGCTCACCATGAGGGCCAAGGTTAGGAAAACTCCAATCCACACAAAAGTAGACCATACTGACTGAGGGCACTTACATCATTGGACTGAAAGAGCTTGGTCATGGCAAAGAAGGCCTCGGTTGCTTCGGTGGTCCCTAGGTGCTCCCCCTGTTTTAATCAAAAAAGAAGTCTCAGCCTGGGACAGAGAGGCCAGAAGGCTCTTCCTGCCAGATTAGCCCAAGCCAGATCCCCAGACCCTGGAGAGGTTCCATCAAGGGCAACACATCAGAGTTAGACACTGAGGGGACTGAGAGCTGGATGACAACCACACAGGAGCTAACAAAAACCCTAAGGGTTATCTGACTCAGCAACCCTCCTAATAACCCCCAGCACCATTTTCCCCACCCCCAAGCTCCATCCTCTTACCTGGTTTATGAGGTAAAGGATCTTGGTGAGGATGTGGGCACATTTTCGAGGGTTGATGGGAGTTTCATTAAATACACGGGCCTAAGAAGAAGCAATAAAGAACATTACCTTCTAGCCTAGTTTATTTCCCTCCCACTGACTGCCCTCAAGCACATTCAAGGTCTGAGAAATCCTAGGGTAAATAAATATATTTGCCTGAATGAGCTTATTTTCATAAGGGAACAGTTTTGTTTTGCTTTTTCCTCCTCAAATCTTCCCTAAATATTAGTTAGGGATGTGCTCACTTACTAACAGATACTTAGTAGTAAACACCTGTTAACTAGAAACAGAAAGAGAGAACAAAAACAATAAATGCAAGCATAATGAAGTCTCTCCAAGAATGAAGTTTTCCTGTCTTTCCAGGAACAGGTTTTCTCCCTTACTGTTCTTTAACCCACCACTTTGAATGCATTCGTATTTTGAGCCTGCTGTGAACACTTAGGATGAAAGAGGGCAAATGACACTTGCCTCCTGGAGTACTGCACTCTTCTCAAGATGCTGGAATGGGTTGGAGCCTCCACCTACAGAACAGAGAAGACTGAGTATAGGTTGTAAGCCTAAACTGCAAACCTTCCAGACATTGAGAAGGAAAAGATGTCACTATTGTCTACCTAGCCCAAGTTCAAATTACTCCGGAATGGCAATCAAAGCTCTACAACCTGCATATAGATACTACCACTCTCTTGCAGGGAGCTCCCTCTACCCCAAACCACTTAAGGCACCCAGCAGCCCTGGTACAGTCCTTCTGTGCCTCTCATAGCATCTTGTCTTGCATTCATTTACATAACTTGTACTTAACTGAGTCCCTACAATGCATGGGGACCACCATCTCCTAGTGACTAGAACTTCTTCACAGCAAATGTCACATTTGTAATTAATTACATGTGTCATTATGTGGCTGGTATCTATCTTCTCCATTATGCCTGTGACGTAATATTCCCAGCTCAGGCACTGAGCGTCTCATTTGTTCTACTGCAGTCTCAGAATGCAGTACAGTACCTGGCATACTGTACACGCTCAAGAGATGTTGGCTGAATAAATGAACGGAAGAGGGTTCTCAGCCACACAACACTGGCTCCACAGATTACACCCCAGTCTGGCCAGCAGCAGCGCAGCCTCGGCGAATCCCAAGAGGTCTCACGGAGAAAGTCATAACGGTGCGTCTGGCCGGGGCCCTCCCCCTGACAGCTGGGGAAACTGAGGCCCACACAGGCGCATGACCCGCCCAAGGTCACCCCCCGAATCGTGGTCCGAGCTCACGAGAGGGGTTAGTGGAGCATGCTCGGGCTCTCCGAGGTCTGCCACTGACCAGCTGCGGACCTTGGCACAAACCCTGTCCCTCTCTGAGTCTCGGCTTTAGGTCTAGGCAGAGGACCGGAAGGAGGGCTCCCAAAGAGGGTGCAGAGAGCCTGCGCTAAGGTCCAGCCTCCCCCAAGCCTACGCCCCCTCACCCGATTCCTCGTCTTTCTTGTCGAATTTCTTCAGCATGGTGGTGCCTGCAGGGCCCAAAACAGCAGCCCCGTGGTAGTCCCGCGCAGTGAGCAGCGGCGATCGGGCGGCGGTACAGCATAGGCAACTTCCGGCCGGCCACGTCGCCCTGCGCTCTGCGCAAGCGCAACCTGCGCTGTGCGCAAGCGCACAACCCAGGGCTGCTCCCCGCTTTAACCCTCTCCCTGCAGGGGAAGGACAGGTCTCAGGTCTGGGGGTTTGCGCGGAAGGGTGGAGGCCCTAGACTCGGGGCTGACGTGCACCCCAGCTCTGCGCCTTACGTCCTCCTTATCCGTGCAATGGGAGCGGTGGTTTCTCCCTCACTGCATTGTGGCGTTAGTTTAAACGGGCTTTCGAAGGTGAGGTCCCTAGCACACTGGCCCGCAGTAGACACCAAATTGTTACCTGTTATTATATGTCAGCTTCTCGGGGGCCCTCACTTTCAGTCTCCTTACCTTGCCTGATTTTTCTCCCAAGCTCGAATTACCATCTAACACACTGTATTTTTACTTTATTGATTTTATTGTCTTTTATTCACAGCCGTGGATAATGTTGGTATATAGTAGGTGCTCAGTCAATTCTTGTTGAATGAATGCACTTTCATGCATGAAATGCATGAACTTTATCTTAATAATTCATATCTGCCCACCCACCCTCCAATCACATCTAATCCTGGTGCAAATTGTTTTGTACTTTATTAACTTTCAGGGATCTAAAGTAGGAAATCAGCATAGAAACTTAAATGTTTTTTTAAAATACTTTAGATATTTATCGATCGCCTACTAGATGCACCGCCCTAGTGCTGGAGGCGGGAATGCACTGAAAGGGGAAAAAGAAACGTCACCACAGTTTGTCTTCCTGGGCACCTGCGCGGGACACCCTGAGGCTAAGGTAAGGATGGTGCGTGCCAGCGTGCCAAACTACATTTGGCTACTACAAACCCGAGTCAGGATAGCCGAGCGCTGCAATGCGTGTCAGGCACCAGCTTCCCTGGGGAGAGGGCTGCCCGAAGTCAGGCGAGGAGAAGGAGCCCTGGTGAGCCAGTGGTGGAGAGCAGCGGCAGGGGGTGGGGCAGAGGCTCATAAGTGAAAGAGGGAGTAACAGCATAGCGGAGGAGTGGAATTAGGGAGGGGCCAGGCGCTAGGGTTAGGCTTTGCTGAGGCTGAGGCTAGGGGCTAGAGGGAGAGCGGAGGAAGATCTTGCGCCAAGGTGAAATTGTCAAGAGCCAGAAAGATACTCAAAATCCTTAACCAGTAACACCACCCCTTATCCGGTGGAAATCATCCAAAAGAAAATAAACTTGCCCACTGCAGGAGTTTGCAGTAAGATAATTGGAAACACCCTAAATGTCCAGCAATAATGGGATGGTTAAGGGAATTATGGTAGATCTATCAGATGAAATATTCCTTGCCCTTTATAAAGGGATATTTCTGATGACTTGGGAGGCAATATGCAAACTTCTTAAATGAGACATTAAACGAGAAAAGCAGGGTGTAAAAGTGTTCACAATTAAGGTGAGATAAATATGCCTTGTGGTTAAAAAGCAGAAAAGAACCTCAGAAATTTGGATTGTTAATGTTAAGAGGGTGAAACACAGATGAATTGGGCTAAATACAGATGAATTGTATTGGGCTAAAATATCCTTTTATGTCTTTATATTAATTCTATAAAACTATATACCAAGGCCAAAAAGTACAATACCTTTCTGAGAATAAGAATAGTGGGTGGTGACTCCAGCTCTAACTATGGGCTTTTATATGTATATATATATATATATATATAAAATTGTAGGGTTTTTATTATTTTTAAATGTTAATATATATTCTTCAGGATAACTGCTAAGTCCTTTGTAGAAACACAGAGTACTGAAAGTACAAGAGAAACTAGAAAAATCTGAATGACATTGGTAGATTGTATCAATATCACTATACTGGTTGTGATATTACTTTTTATTAATTTTATTAGTTTAAAAAATTGAGGTATATTACCACATAAAATTCACCCTTTTAAATATACAAATCAGTGGTTTCAGTGGATCTGCCTCTTCTGGATATTTCATATAAATGGAATCATACAATATGTGGCCTTTTGTGTGTCTGGCTTCTTTCGCTTAGCATAATGTTTCAGAGTTTTCAGAGTTCAACCATGTCATAGCATGAATCAGTACTTCATTCCTTTTTATTGCTGAGTAATATTCCATTTTATGGATATGCCACATTTTGTTTATCATGCATTAGTTTATGGACATTTGGGTTGTTTCTACTTTTTGGCTCTCATGAATAATGCTGCTTTGAACATTTGTAAACAAGTTTTCATGTGACATATGTTTTTATTTTTCTTGAGTGTATACCTAGGAGTAGAAATGCTGGGTTATATGATAACTGTTTAACTTTTTCGAGAAACTGCCTATTTTCCAAAGCATTGGCACCACTTCATATTTCCACTAGCAATTTCAATTCACCACCAATTTCTCCACATCTTGTTAATGCTATTATCTTTTTGATTATAGCCATCCTAGTGGGCGTGAAAGTGTATCTCTTTGTGGTTTTGATTTGTATTTCCTTAATGGTTAATGACGTTTCAGGTGCTTACAGCCGTTTGTATATTTTCTTTGAAGAGTTGTCTAATCAAATCTTTTGCTCATTTTAAAATTGGGTTTTTTTGGGGCGCCTGGGTGGCTCAGTCGTTAAGCGTCTGCCTTCGGCTCAGGTCATGATTTCAGGGTCCTGGGATCGAGCCCCGCATCAGGCTCCCTGCTCTGCGGGGAGCCTGCTTCTCCCTCTCCCGCTCCCCCTGCTTGTGTTTGTGCTCTTGCTATCTCTCTCTGTCAAATAAATAAAATCTTTAAAAAAGATAAAATAAAATAAAATTGGTTTTTTTTTAAATTGTAGAATTTTAAGATTTCTTTATATATTCTGGATACTAGATCCTTATCAGACATACAATCTGCAAATATTTTCTTCCATTCTGTGGGTTGTCTGCACTTTTTTTTACAGTGTCCTTTGAAGAACAAAAGTTTTTTTTTTTTTTAATTTTGATGAGGTCCAATTTATCTATTTTTTCTTTTGCTACTTGTTCTTTTGGTGTCCATATATAAGAAATTATTGCTTAAGCCAAGGTCATGAAGATTTATCCTTATGTTTTTTCCTAAGAGTTTTATAGTTTTACCTCTTAAATTTTAGGTCTATGGCCCATTTTAGTTTTTGTATATGGTGTGAGGTGGGGGGGTCCAACTTCATTTTTTGCATGTGGATATCCAGTTGTCCCAGCACTGTTTGTCAAAAAGACTATTCTTTCACCCGTTGAATTGTGTTGTTACCTTTGTCAAAAATCAATTGATAGTAATGTATGGGTTTATTTCTGGACTCTAGATTCTATTCAACTATCTATATACTATAGTTGTTTTTTTTTAAAGCTTTATTAATTTACTTGAGAGAGAGAGAGAGAGAATGAGTGGGAGGGGCAGAGGGAAGAGAGACTCTCAAGCATACTCTGCACTGAGCACAGAGCCCAACCTGGGGGCTTGATCCCATGACCCCAAGACCACAACCTGAGCTGAAACCAAGAGTCAGATGTTTAACCAAATGCACCACCCAGGTGCCCCATGTAGTATAGTTTTACAAAATGTTACCATTGGGGGAAACTAGTTAAAGGATACATGGCATTTCTCTGTATTATTTCTTACAACTGCTCATGAATCTGTAATTATCTCAATAATAATTTAATTTTTAAAAAGCTGAGATTATTTTTAGGGTATGTTCTTACCACCAGCACCCCACCTGTGCCCCTGAACTAAAAGAAGTGTTTTGTTATAAGAACTTTTCTAGCCTTCCTCTGGGGTGCCTACTCTCACCCTCCAGGTGGCACCAACTCTCTTTCTTTTTACCCCTAGTTTTTCACAAGTCAGAGCAGGAAAAAGGCCCTTCCCTGGTCTTTTGACAAGAGCAGGACGCCAGTCTCTGGCATCCACCAGAATGACTCGGGGCAGTTTCAGAGCCCTGGCCTGCCCTGAAGGTCCCCTCAATATAACAGGGAGATTCAGGGATACCTTTGCTTTAGGGGCAGCATCTAGCCTCATAGAATGAGTTCCCCAGTCAAAGAAGCAGTCCACTATTTTTTCTCTGCTTATACCCACCTTTGAAAGCATTCATTCATTCATTCATTCAGCACTTACTGAGCACCTACTATTATATAATTCTTATAAACATAGCAAGTACTCTCTACAGGTAAGGTATTATCTTAATAAAAATTAGATTTTTTTCAGGATCAGATAATGAACATAACTCCCCACACACCTTTGCAAACTGTAAAGAGCTACACTATAATAAGGTATAATCAATATTGGGGCAGGAGGATCACAATATAAGAGCTGGCATTTATCAAGGACTCACCGGAAGACAGACACTTCATGTATTTTATCCTTAGCCTATCCAAAGAAAGGTCAAAGTAAACATCACTGCTCCTACAGTCGCAAAAATAGAATCTCAGAGAAGTTACGTATGTTGCCAAAGGATACACATCTACTGAATGACAGAGCTGGCGTTCAAAACTAGGTTCCCAGGTTGCCGAAGACTGCTGCTTCTTCTCCTCAACCCCAAGCCATCAACTGAAAGGAAGTCTCTGGAAGCAGCCACCTCTAGGAAAGTTTGTGCTGAACACATAGTTATTAGATGACCTGGGGAATCAGTCAGCCTCCTAGATATGCGTTCCTTACACCATTTCTTCCAAGCATCCTAACACAGTTCTATTTATAAATTATTCCTGAATTTAGCAAGAGGCATTTCCCAGGTAATGTAATATATTTATTTTTTTTTCCAATTAGAGAAAAAAAAAGCATATATATTTGGGGGGGAGGAAACCTTAGGACAATACAGCAAAGTAAAATGAAAAGTAGAAAATTATTCCTTTTTTCTTTTTCTTTTTTAAAAGATTTTATTTATTTGTCAGAGAGAGAAATAGAGCACGCACAAGCAGGGGGAGTGGCAGGCAGAGGGAGAAGCAGGCCCCCCGCTGAGCAAGGAGCCCAATGCAGGACTCGATCCCAGGGACCTGAAGGCAGACGCTTAACTGACTGAGCCACCCAGGTGCCCACCAAAG